TTTCTCATTACAAATCATCTCTCTATAGAGTGTGAACCTGGGGTTTATTGGCATTTTTATCTTCTCATTTTTGTAGCTGGAGCACATCAGCTTCTCTTAGCAGTCAGTCAAAAGCACCTTTCATTAAGCCCTGCTGAAAGCTCTCCATTACTGAGAGCTTTGTGTCTGGGAAGGGTCTGCCTTGAACTCCTGCACCCTCCTCCAAGGATATTCCAGAGCAGCTCCTGCTGTAATTACTGTTCTGCTGTGTACACCCCTCCCAGGACAACAGCCCAGAAAAATCACAGATGACAGATGAATGAGCCCCTGTATTTATTCTCTGCCTTCACCTTCACAACTACAGCAGAAAAAAAAAAGATGACTCGTGGTCCTGCGTCATCGTTTGCCCACTCTCCCAGACTTCATCCTCAAAATGGCTTTGCAGAAGTTCAGATAAAGCTCATTCACAGCAAGATCTGTGCCTTTTCAACAGGAAGCTGAAACTCTGATTTAACCCCAAATAAATACAAAGCCCATTTTCCCTTTTACACCCGGAGTCACAAAATATCCCCCCACATCTGAGAGCACCTGTACCCCACACACACAGGACTTGGGAAATCTGTCCCTGTGACTTCATTCCTCACAGAGAGCAGTGCTAATGGTTTGAAGCTTTAATTCTCACAGGAAAATAAAAGCCCTGGGGGAGATGCCGTTTACCAGATCCTTTCCCAGACGGCCCTTTCCCCTCAAAAATATTTTACTTTGCATACTCCATATAGTTTTAGCTCAACAATGATAAACCAAGATTCCTTATTCACATTTCCCCTCTTTCTCTGGCTCCATGAACACTCCATAACCAGTTAGGAAAGGCTGGAAAGGAGAAGCATATCCCAGTTTTTCCAGCACCCTGAGGGAAGAGAAGCTGCCCTCTTACTTACAGGCAAACTGAAGCTTTGCTTCTCTGCTGACAACGGTTCCGAACGGGTTTGTTGCTACACACTGGTATGTTCCAGTATCCTGGGTTTTATTGGGATTATTGATCAGCAGGTTGCCTTCCACCAGGCTGTAGCGGAAATCCATCCCCACGTCAATACCGGTCCCATTTAACTTCCACCTAGAGCACAAAAATGCCAAAGTTACATTCTGCTGATATTAATGGGGGCTCGTGGGTATTTCAAGCCACAGCACGAAGTAAATAAAGGGAGATTTAGGACGCCTTTGACTACTTATTAAAACAAAAAAAAAAAAAAAAAAACAGGGCACAAAAATGCAAATTTCCTGCACAGTACTGAAATATTCCAGTGTTTAACTGAAAGAGCAATATCCTTGACATATATTTCAGTCTCTGAAATGATTAATGCTTCTGTAGCTGCTCGTGCTGCTGCTCTTTGGAATTAATCACTTTGCAAGGGGAAGTCCCTGAAACAGGATCTCTAAACCACTCAAGTCCACCGAGGGTTTTTTCACCCCCCCCCTCCCCCTCCCGACTTGCTGGCTGTTTGTTTTTAAATTTCAATTTCAATTCACTCACAGCAGATGCTGTCACAAACTGGGGCACTGAGTAACTCCAGCACCGCTCTGCCCCAGTTAGAGCCGCCTCACCCCCACCAGCCCTCGATGGAGATGTGGCCCCTCCACCACCAGAATGAGCAGAGAAACTACTGGAATGTGCTTGCACCAGTGAACCAACAGAGTTTACTGCACTAAACAGCTGGCTGTGCCAGCAAACAGCCCCGTGGCTGAGCCCTGGTGGCTCTAATTGGTTTCAGGGTGGCATTTACTTTGGTGAGCAGAATGAGGGAGGCACTAAAGGAGAGAAAGCAGCAGCCTCAGTGACCTCCAGCAGCAGCAGCAGCACCAAAGCATCTTCCTGCAAGGATCCCAAAGCAGCTACTAAAGCTGAAAGGAACTGAGAGCTTTGCCCATGTTTAGGCAAAAGGATGGTTAATCCAAGACTATCTGTTATCCCTTCATAACTCCATTTTGCCATTGAGCTGCAATGTGTGGTGATTTCCTGACGTGCATTTTCCCTGTTTCTAATGCTCCTGAATCGGGGAATATCCTGAGTGGGAAGGGATCCACAAGGACCATCAGAACCTGGCCCAGCACAGGACACCCCAACAATGCCACCACATCCCTGAGAGTGTTTCCAGGCTCCAGGGGCATCACTGAGTGATACAGGCAGGAGGAAGGACCTTGGGTGGTGCTGCTGCATGGTGGATGGTGCTAAGGAACAGTTAAATTCAGTTAATGCTAAAAAAACAGTTAAATTCAACAAACCCAATGGTTGGTCTGGGATTTCCTTTCACTTCACAGTTCAGCTTCACTTTCTTTTCCTCTGAATCCAAAGGGAAGATCAGGCTGTTGGGTTCCTGAAGGAAAACTGGCCCGTGCAGTGTGTTGTCATCTGCATGAAACAAGGAAAATGTGACAGCTGATTGATGGAATCTCCATGTTCCCACTCTTAAAACATGAAACAGTGTCTTAGCAGCAAGAGGCCATGTATCATTCACCTTGGAAAAGAACTGATGACACTTTATTTTGTTTGTAACAGCAGATTTTTTTTTTTTCCAAAAGCCATTGAATCTCACACAGAGTCAACATTCACGAAAATGTCTGTGCATTAAAATAGAGGAGAGAATGAAACTTCACCCAAAGTTCAAATGAATGGGAAGAGGGACGATCCTGTTGTCATAGCAAAGCTCAATTCATATCAGAAGGCTTAATTCACCTTGAAAAATGGAAATCTTTTCCTTGCAAACTAAAAGCCCACATTATTAAATGCAGTTACCCAGTACTGTGAGCTGGAGGGTCCCCAGCAGGTCCAGCCCCCGTTGGTTCTGGGGGATTCCTCAGGAATTCCCTGGCTCCAGCCCAGCACCACCCTGGCAATGATGTCCTGCTGACAAGGACATCACACACCTGTGCACTTTGGAGTATTAAAAACTCACACTAAATATAGGTAGAAGAGTGAAAACATTTTGGCAGAACAACCTGACATGACCTTCAAAGAGTTCAGGAGTCATTTCACAGCAATGCCACAGCCTGAGGTTGGGGATTACTCACAGGAGCCTGCCTTGTGCTGACTTTACTTCTTTATTTTAAAAATGTATTTTGATCTTTTGAGCTCTTAACTCCTTCCTATCTCCTTTCCTCTCTCCTCAACCACTCTCCATTTTCCCCTTAACAATTTATCCTTTCTCAAACTTGGGAGTTAAGGGTGAGCGCTGCTCGTAGGACCGAATTCCACGAAATGCGTCAATAGCGCCCAAAATGCCCACAAAAAACTACAACATAAATTCACTGCTCTCCACCCTGTTTGTATTAGACAGTTTTATCTTCACAGTAGCTGTTCAGAACATAAAAGAAACCAGCTTTTCTTCCCTGAAAAAGATCACCCATCTTGATTTCCCCGGGACCTCTCTGCTCCTCGGTGGCGATGTCTGGCTGCCTCCTCTAAGTACAGTGCAAGTAAGGACACAGCAAAACTCCTCACAGCCAGAGAGCCTTTTGGTTGAGTGAAAGGAACCTCGACTTAACATTTTTTGAACGTTTTCCAATCTGTTTCTGCCCTACCTCTACAGCAGAGAAAGGGCAATTGTGTGGACCATTGGGTACCTGCAGGTCCCTCGCTGCCGAGGGCAGGGCTGGCAGGGATGTGAGCGCCGACCTCCCTTTAGTCAGGCAGCCAGGAGTCCATCTTGATGGACACACAGGAAACTTGGGGGGATAGGAGGTCAGAGGAAACCGAAAAAATAAAATAGAAAGATGATGGGCTGCACAAAAAAAATACAAAAGGAAAAAAGGGATGAACAGAAGGCAACGGATCTTCCCCACGGGAGGAGCGTGAGAATGACTGCGAGGAGCCCTCACATCCCCCGACACTGGGAAATCAGCTGGATTTACCAGGGACAGAACAATAGCTCTTTACTCCAGGGAGCAAATTCTGCCTCTCCACAGAAGCATTTCAGAGAGACTCTGCCAGGAAGATTAGAAAGGAGCAGCCTCTCCCCCATGTCTCCTCCCTCAGGCCCCACCACAAAAGGGAACACGGTCATATCACTTGTATTTATCTTTATTCTTAATTATATGTTAATGATATCTGACTGAAACTCATCTATTATTCAAAACACATTTCACATCCTCTCCAGCTTTAAATTATACCTGTGTGCCACTTGCTGTTGCTGGTGGAAAAAGATAATAATAACCATAAAGCAAACAGGGCTGGATTGTGGTATCTGGACTTGTTTCTGAGACCAAGGGCTGCTTCACTCCCTAAACAGTCTCATTTACCCTAACAAAAAAAAAATTACAATCTGCCTGTGCAATTAATTGGTAAGCAAAGCACACTTCTGAAAACACAGACTAAAGGCAGAGAACTATGAAGGTAGAAATAGTCACAAATAGGTGAAAACACTGAATAACTTAGTTTTTCTACTAAAACACTCAGCTTGCTAAAAACGAAACTCATGAAAAAAAACCCCAAATGAAACCACTTCAAAATCTTCCACCTGCTGCTGACACTGTTTAATATTCAGTTTTTATATGGCAAAAAAAAAAAAAAAAAAGCTTTTCCTTCCTTTTAGCCAGCAAGAAGCAAAGCCCTGGTGGGACTTTCAAGCAAACAGTGTTGGGTGAGGCAGGAGAACCTCTGAAAGCAGCTGCCAGCACACCAGGGGAACAGAAGAGGAGGAAAAAACCTTGCAACACTGGGTAGATAAAAATTATTTTTGAGAGCCTTTCTTCTTTCTCTTATTGCTGCCTGTGTATAACCAAGATAAGCAAGTCCAAACTATTTAATCTTCAGCCTGTCGAGTCCCTTGGCTACAGTTTAATGCGTGATTGAAATCACTGCAGCCCAGATCCCACCACTGTGTGATAAGAGCTGAGCCACAGAACCTTACAGGAGAGCAGGATTTGGTTCACAGGACACTAAAGAGCCACTAATAAATAAAACAAACTGCCATCTAGATTCTTCCAGATAGAAAACTACGAGTGCCTGTACCATAAATAGCCCATTTTGGAATAAGTTATGTTATTCAGATGCTCGGTGCCAGCAAAGGCAAAGGCATTTGCTCCACTGAAGCGTCTGATTTTGTGGGAGCGAAGTTTTGCAATTTGGATAACTCTGAAATGTGAATTTTACACTTTTTTTTTTTTTTCCCCCCCAAAGTTAAAATTGGTAACTTTATTTCTATGCAATAATGTCCAGGACTTGCAGTCAAAGAGCAACGATATCTCATTTTTTAACCTATCACTGAAGGACCCCACGAGCTGCTCAGTCTACAGAAGCCCAGCAATGCCAAGAGGAGGCTGTTTCCTGAGCTTAGAGGGCTTTTCCCTTTCCCTTCTCATCAGATTGTGTTTAATAAGCTCTCTTTTGGTCATTTCATCAAACAGAACAAGTTACCTCAGAATGAACATGAAACACCCTCAGCTTAAAGACAACCTACAGACCAGATTGGTTACCAAAAAGCATTTTATCCTCCACTCTGGATAAAAACAAATGTACTACTGCTCTGGGTGTGCCTCCTTTGAGAGAAGTGTATTTCTTTCAGTAAGATGCAGGATCTAAGAAGTTGCAGTTGACTTTATCATAAAAGAAACATTTTAACCACAGAAGGAGGTGTGTGCCCATATGGTGTCAGACAGAATGTGATACATCATTTAGAGGAACATCCTGCTACCCAAGCTTCTGCTAGGTATATGATTTTCCCCCCAAGTGAATCACAGAATCTATTCAAAAAAGCCAGGTTAATTTAAACACATTCCAAATGAAGAGTGTCCCTCCACTACCCCAAACCTGAGAGCCAGCACATGCAGTTGGACGCTAAATGCTTGTCATCTTCCCGTGCTTTTGAGGAATTGAAACGTGAAGAATGTCAGCTGAGGTTAATTCACAAGAAACAGGTGAAACCATTCCCATTCTCTCTGAACATTAAGCCTGGTGACAGATCCTGTTACCTAAATAGAACTGCTTTAATTTCCACTGAAAGTTATGGCCAATTTGAGAGGAAGTTTAATTGAATATTCCACACAGTAGGGAAAGATAATAACTAAACTGAAGAGAGAATTTTTGGAGTATATCCAGTGGAAATGAGAAAAAATCCTTTCCTTGTTTGCTGCCCAGGGAATTGCTCTCTGCTGTGTGTGCTGGTGTGTTTTCATCCAGTGCTACAAGTCAGTATTTCTTCAAGACAAAACTGCACCTTGGGAAGAGCAACTCTTCAGAAAAGAGGGAAGTGGGATGGAGAGGACAGCTCAAGGGCAGTGCTGATTAACACAACAGCCTGCTCTTCGAGGTTAGCAGCTGCATTACATCCTCCTGAGCAGGAAAAGACTCAATTGGATGCTCACTCCCTATTTTTTGCCTATCACTTCTGTAACATCACCTGCAAATAATTCCATAGACTTCTCGGCGAAGAAGTCCCTATAAAGGTGCTTCCCATACAAAGAAAAAAAAATTTATTAAAGATAAAAATAAAGGAGATTAAAAAAAATGTCCTGTCTGAAGTGTTGTTTTAAAGGGAAGGGTCTCAGAGCTCCTGTATCTTTGGGGAGCAGCCACCAGCCTTCCTCCCCAGTCACTCCTCCTCACCACTGCACCAGAGCTGACCCATGTGCTTAGAAAACCTCTCAAGATTAATAAAGAGAACTAAATAACAACAATGATCAGATATTTTCATCAGGAGCAAAACTGAAACGAACGGTGAGGCTCTTTTCCTCATCATCACCCCACCACTGCGTAAGATGCACTTTCTGCTACTCCACTGCAACAATCTGAACCCTGGCAGCAAAAACACTCTCCCAGAGCTCTTGTCTGAGACATTCCCTGAGCCTTGCTACTGGGTTGAGAAGCTGGATGGGGAGAAGAGCCACCACCTCTCTCCTGACCCCGTGATGCAAGACTGGGTTTCTTTAGCAGCACTTACAGGTCTCCAACATGGACCAGGAGCCAGACAGCTCCTGCTGCTATCACCACACTCCTCCTGCTAGAGATCACCTCACTCCTCCTGCTATCATCTCTCTTTTCTGACATCCTTTCACGTCCCAGCTCGCTGCTGTACCAAGTACAAGTGCAGGTGGAGTGGAAAGCCGGGCCTGGCAGGTGACAGCTGATAGGCAAGAGTCTGATCCCCGAGTTCAAAAGCAGTGTCAGATATTCCTCAGAGACCCTAAGGCAGCCACAAAAATCCAGGAGACAGGAAGAAATAAATCTTCCCTCTCGTAAATGCGTGGAAGGGCTCCAGCATTTGCAGAGGAGACAGCAGTGGTCTGACAACTCTATTTACGAGTGACCCGAGGATCTGGCGCAGTCGGAATTAAAGGCAGGGTTAAGCACATCCACCCCACCACAGCGTGCTCTGACCTCTGAGGGGAGCCCAGGGTTCACTGGTGAGCCCTGCA